TATCTTTACATATGAAAAATGTAAATATTAAGGATATATATAGGATATAATAAGAATGGATATAGAATATAAATATAAAGGATTAAAATATTACAAAACATATTATTTTCTAGCCTACATAAATATGAAAAACCACTGCTTTTATGTCTTCTTCATCTCGGGAGGCTTTTTCAGTTCATTTATAACAATTTGCTTTTGTATAATGTTATTATTATTAGCAGTATTATTTATTATATCCATATTTATATTTGTTTTATTAAAAACAAGCTTAGATTTGCCCACCTGTCAGGTTTTAGACCATATGGGGCACAGAATGTGTTTTAGGATATAACTCAGGTTTTTGAGCACATTTTGCTATTATTATTCATTTATACATTTGCTGGAAATTAAAACTGAATTTAGAAATAGTTTTGAAACGAATATTTGCGCTTAACAAACAAAAGTATTTATTTATAGACTAATTGATGTCTGTGCGTAAAGGTTTCCCTATCCAAGAGCGAAAGTGAAAGTGATCCATTATCTCTCATTCTCACGCAGTAGATGCTCTGTTTAACAGTTTTCTGTTAAAAAACTGTTAACTGTTTGCTTGTGAAATGCTCATTTTTTCCACTTAGACTTACTTTGCGTCCTGTTGTAAATAGTGAATGCGCTCTTGGTGCGACGCAGCTGACTCTTAAAGGGAATGGGAGATGAGACTGTAATTGGTTTATTATCAAAACACACCTATAGCTCATTAAGAAAATAAACTCAACCCTTTTAGACCATGCACCGAAGCGCAAGGCAGATTTCCCGTCCTTAAATTAGCAAAAACGCGTCCTGACACGCCCTGAAAGCATTTGCGCCCTGCGTTTTGCGCATGGACCGTCAAAATAGAGCCCAAGGTTTTAAAACTGTTCAATTTTTTTTATTATACTGTTCGCAGGGTATATGCAAGGGATTTTTTATTTTTTTACTGTTCCAAAATCTTATAAATGTTTTCCTAAAATAAAAAATAGTGCATTCAAAAGGGGAAAAAAAAACATTATTTTTTAACCCAGACATTTTAAAAGAACTAATTTTAGAGCAGTAATCACAATCCTGTGACATTTTTGTCCAAGGTTATTATAATAACAGAAACTTATACCGGCCCATGCCTAGTATTACAGGCAGACATAAAGCACTTTACAAATCTAATAGAAACAAATATGATTGCACAAACTGAATTTTTTTTTTTTATCATTTATATAAAGAAAGAGCTACACACCCATCTCCCAAAGTACACATAGACAGGCTCTTCCGGGATGTCATTAGGATCAGTTCCATAATCCTCTAGCAAGCAGAAAATATGTTCTGGGTCCTTGAGGTTAACTGTTCCTTCAAATGGTAAGAAGTCTAGAGCCTGGGATGGATGGATGGATGGATGGATGGATGGATGGATGGATGGATAGATGGATAGATGGATAGGTGGATAGATAGATAGATAGATAGATAGATAGATAGATAGATAGATAGATAGATAGATAGATAGATAGATAGATGATTAAAAAATACACTAACAATTTATTGCCTTGCAAAGTTTTATGTTAGTATGCGAGTCTAAGAGAGTGTCTAAAAGGAGCATCAAAATTAAGTTTGTAGTGAGTAAATGTTAACAATTAAACTGACTGTAAATGGATAATTATTGACTGCACATCACAAAAGCCACAAAATGTATACGATAAACGTAAAACATGAAAAATACAGCAAAATACTTACATCGATTTTTTTGATTCTGTCCTTAAATTCTAATGTTTTGTTAAAAGTGTAGACATTGATCTTATAGGTTGAGTTTTGCTGCAGATATGGAGCCTGTGAAGAGTTAATACAAGAGACAGTTCATTGATAGATACACTTTATTCTTTTATTAATAGAAGAACTTGAACAAACCATGTTTTCTGATGGATACTCCAATAACGACCTCCGAAGCTCCTCTGTCGTCTTTCCATGACCCCACAGTTCAAAAGCAGACCTTAAAACAAATATTAAACAACACATAAATAAAGCTCTTCATCAATTATAGTAGACCATTTTAGTGTAGTGATGTCATTGGCCCATGAACATTTCCTGCTTGTTGTCAAACTATTGCATAATTGCAACAAGAGGCAATTCAATCATAACTTAGCATTATAACAGCAATCATAACATTTTTGATTAATATGTAGATCGTTTTGGATTCTCAGAAGCGAAGGAAATTGAATATGTTTAACAGGAAATATGTTAGGACCATTGTTATTATTTACATCCCTCAAAATGGCCTAGAGTTAATGAGTTAAGAAACAATATAACAAGCAGACATTTTACTACAGCTGTTTACGGATAATGCATGCCAGTTTGTAGTGACTAAATTAATGTTACCTACTTATGCAATGCATTAGTAAACACTTCAAAAATAATTATATACTCAATATAATTGTTAAAATGTTATATTTTGTCAATTACATTTAATTATTTATAGTTAACTAACAATTGTAAATTCATGTTGACTTCTGCAGTTACAGTAGGAAATGTTAACAAATAAATTGTTATTGTAAATGGAAACATTTTACAATAAGGTCTATTTGTTTAAAAACTTAAAATGAGAAAGAAATCATGACAGTGGTTATCAATGTTAGTTAATAGCCACGGCTGTTAATTGCATTTCAGGTCAGCTCAGTTTAATAAACAAAATGCATGAACTAAAACATTCTTAGAAACAAATGTTTTATTTGTAAATCAAAATTAATGTTAACCAAGATAAATACTTGATGTCAACTAATACATTGAATTTTTTGGTAAAGTGTTATCTTTTGTCTAATGTTGGGGGAAGTTACTTTAGAAAGTAATGCATTACAATATCAAGTTACTCCCCAAAAAAGTAACTATTTGTGTTACTTAATTACTTTTTATGGTCAGTAATGTGTTACTGTGTGTTACTTTTGAGTTACTTTTTCTGACCTGGCTAAGGGCTTGATCTCTTTCAGAACTGTTTTTTTTTTCTTCTTTTTTTTTAATAGAGGAATTCTGCATTTAACAACACTCTGTATAACCTACACTTCCATTTACCTTTAAAAAAATCACATCAAAAATATATGTTTTAGGATGTTATCTGAGAACTTCCTTACCCCAGATCTACAGTATACATGCTGCATTTACAGATTATTGAAAGTTTAAAGCAGTATTTGCTACCTTTGTACTATTTGCCTTCAGTTAAATCACTATCTATTAAGGCAATCCCCCTTTTCCTTTTCTTCAATGTGTTCAGAATAATGAACGCATTCACTCAATGTCTGCGTGATTCATTGTGACTACTTTAATTTCAATTCAAAGCTAATTAATTAACTTGAAAATAAACTTGGGTTACATTTTTTAAAAAGCAACTCAAATATTAGCACTTGTTTTTAAAAATGAATGCATGACTCGTTACTTTGAAAAGTATTATTATTACATAACCGGCATTACTTGTAATGTGTAACCCCCAACACTGCTTTTGTCTATATTACAGGTTACTTGACGACAAACAATGAGATAAAATTGGTTTTATATTCACTCATATTTATATTGGTTTTATATTAGCTCATTGTAAATGTGCCCTTATTGTCTGTATCATGCTACTTTGAATATTCGGTTTGAAATCACATGCAAGTATGACTTCAAAAGAACATCAGCACTATTTGTTTGACTGTAAACAATAATGTAATTTAATAGTCAGCTGCTAATATGATTTTCCTATTCGGAATTTGCAAATAATCCTTTTCTGAAACTCTGTTACAAAGTAGAAAATCAAAATGTGCATATATAAAAGCAAATTTACCTTTACCAACAGTGCCGTTGGCTTTTAACTTTACCAACTTTTTATAAAACAAACAACATTCAAGAAATTAATTCACAAGTTCAACATCAGATTACTATTCTACATTAGCACTATTTAATTGACTGAAAAATGTACTTTGATAGTCATTGGCGGCTAATATGATTTCTCTGTTTGAAATTAGGAAAAAAACATATGATATTATAAATATATATGATATGTAAACGATGTAAAGAGAAAGTCCAAATGTGCGGATATAAAACCAACTTTATCTCAATTAAATTATGTAACAAAATATTACAACATACTTTCCACAAACCGTTCTGGACATGACACTCCGTATGTCGTCTTCTGACAAGCCATTTAGATGCCAGAAGGGAGACTTATAAAGAAAAGAAAAGTCAAAACTAATAAATTAAATAATTCATAACAATTACTTTACGCCAAGTGAAAAACTATTTCGACACTACCTTTTCTTTAAATGTTTCGGGTGTCTCAAACGGCCGGTCCCTTAGAGAGAGTAATGCTTTTATTTCCTGTAACAACAATTAAAAAATTCAGACAGTTAATTATTAATGTGTACTAATAAACCAACAATACTTCAGCTGAGCAAAATAACAACAATCAGCCGTACAGTCCAAAACTCCGTACTGACAGTTTAAATAATTAAATACGAATTTTTACATTAAAGTTTGAGTATAAATAAAGGTCTAAAGTTTTTACCGCTAATCTAAAATCGACGTTATCGTGTGCCAGATGAAGTAAATATTGCCTACACGCCCGACCACAGTGGAGCGCCATGTTGGTGTGCAACATTCAACATCATCCGACAAGTATATTGTGCGTGTAACAACAGTTCCTATTTGGCATCCCCGTACGCAAATCCTCTAAAAGGACAATCTCCTAAACAGATTAAATTTTGCGACTTGCATGTTTCTCATCAAGTCACCATGAGTAAAATGAGATAAATATGGTAGTAATAGTTGCTCATTAATAAATAATCATTACTTTATATAATAAATACAAAGCTTTTGTTGTCGATGAAAAATATTAGGTGTCGCTTGATATCTTTTAATCTCGATTATCCGCTCATTAACTTCTTAAGGGACTAAAATCTGCGCCTGTCATTGGCTCATCATCACGATTAGTGACACGAATCTCGTGCTCTCATTGGTTAGTTCATACGTCAATCACTCTCACCGGAGGTCAGAAAAGTATCCTCTGCACAACTTGTAATGTATCCACTTTCATCGCTGTTACAGCTTGACGAGCATCTTTATGAAGCCAAACAAGGGCGGTAAGGTTTTATTATAGCAAGGGCTTTAAAATGCTTTTTAGCGTATGTATCTCGATGTCAAATAAATCTTTGTAAAGCTGAATACATCATTAAGCGGTCGTAAAGAGTCCATAGTAATTTTACTATGCATTTCTGTATCAAATTCGACGCCGTATTGTTGAAAGCTCTTTACTGTAGGTATTTTATTTTGCAGTTTCGTAAGGGCTGAAAAAGTATTGATTTAAAAACAGGGTCGATTGAAGATTTGTTCTGATAATAAATTCTTATAAATATATAAAGTTATTAATATAAACATAGTTTCCTATAAACGTTGAAAAACTGTAATTCACATTTCAGCAAATACTCTTAAAAAGAGACTAAATTTAAAGAAATTGCAGTCGTAATATGTGCCGTTTCAGTATACTAATAAATGTTGTATAAATTCAATATAAATATGTGATTGTTTCTTTAATAGTGTATTTATTTGTAGGTGTAATGAACACAGCAATAACAGATTTAACAGAAAAAGGAGCTGTAAATGTATAAAATTATATATAATCATCTAACTGGGATTCATTTATAGCTTGTCCTTAATTTATTGTCCTCATTTGTAAGTTTTTGTCTTTGGATAAAAATGTACGTCTGCCAAATTAAATTTGGTTAAATGGCAATAAATATTCCCTGATATTTATCATATAGCACAACATTTCACAGGCCAAACTACTAAAACACTCTGAAACTATGAATGCAGTATCTACATACTAATTTTTCCATTAATTTCCCTCAAACTAATTTTTATTATATGCAGGCTTAATATTTATTTTCATTTATGATTAGCTATATATTTTTATTTTAATAATTATATGTTAGCTTTTATTTTGTTATGTGGTCATTTTTTATACTACAATTTAGGTTATTTTTATTACACATTTTGTTTATATATATATATATATATATATATATATATATATATATATATATATATATATATATATATATATATATATTAAAACAAGCTTATCCTACTCACCAAAGCTGCATTTATTTAATCAAAAATACAGTAAAAAATTGTAAAATTGTGAAATGTTATTGCACTATAAAACAACTGTTTAAAAGTATTTAATAAATTATTTTTAAGATGAATTTTCAGCTTTATTACTGCACTCTTCAGTCACATGATCCTTCAGAAATCACTCTAATATGAATAATTATTATTATTATTATTAATGGTAATAGTAATAAAAGCAATATTGACTGGAGTTATATTTTAATTTGAAACTACATGCGATAAGAAAGCAGTTATTAAAAATTGTAATAAACATTTAACAACATTTTTTACATTTAATAAATGCTGCCTTGATGAACAGAATAGCTTTCTTTAAAAAAAAAGAAAACTTAAAAAAAAACTGACCCCAGACATTTGACTGGTAGTGTGTGTGTGTATTGCTCATTAATAACTAATCATACACACACATACATAATATTTTGGTGCTTCAGAAAAAAATGTAGTTATTTGCCATGCAACAATTTAATTTATTTGTTTAGTAAACTATTATTTAATGTAAACTTGTGTGGTTCCATTCCCAATTTAAATGTCAGTACCTCTCTCTCTCTCTCTCTCTACACGCACACACACACACACATCTTTATGACATAATTTAGCAAGACAGGCTAGTATTGATTACATTGGGTCACTCTTTCTTGTAGACTTTGTGAGGCTTTAAGTTATTTAAAACCTGCTCGACATGCAATCTTCTGACTCGCGGCCCGTGTTGTGCCAACAGTGAAGCATGCTGAAACCTAGATCCATCCTCTGAGGCAAAGGTTACCATGGAGGCGGATGAAGCACCTGCGCCGTGCCAGGAAAACATTGACGAGACCAGCACCGTATCCGTCAAAGGTCTGACACAGAACTGGCAGAAATGGTCCAACGAGCACTGCGAGAATCAGAAAAAAAACCCTTTCAGCAACGGCATGGTGACTCCTCCGCAGATTCAACGAGGACAGGAGGGCTATGGCAGGCCTTTAGAGGGCTCCAAAACTGAGCAGAGAGGTAAAGATGCCCATTTCCTCATGAACAGAGAGGTCACTGAGCTCTGCCAGGTCATTAGGGAGATTGGGCAGAGCGGAGACGATGGCAGGACGGCTGTGCGCTTCGGGACTCTCTTCGAGAGATATGTCAACATCTCTAATAAACTAGTGGGAGTTCTTCTGCGCGCACGCAAACAAGGCCTGGTGCACTTTGAGGGAGAGATGCTGTGGCAGGGCAGAGATGATGGAGTAATCATCACACTGATACAGGGATTTACAGCAGAGATGGACACCATGTGCCTGCCTCAAAGTCACTATTAAAAGGATCGTTCACACATGAAAGGAAAATGAAGGCATTATTTAATCACCCTACACTGTAAACAATATCTGTCAATGAACAGTTTCCCTACTTCCGTAAGTGTTTTCTGTTCATTAATGGATTTGAAGTGCATTATGGAAGCTTGATCTCTGCTCTGTCAACTTTTGATGTTGAAAATTCAACTCTACAGTTTAACAAAGTCACTTTTATTGACATTTTTGAAGTTTGAAATAATATATAATAAATAACATATAGAGAAATAAGTCTTTACACTCTTAGAAATAAAGGTACAGGAGCTGTCACTGGGGCAGTAGCTTTTTAACCAGTTAAACTCTGGGGACCCGATACTGAGTCCGTGACATCATTGACTTTCACTGTAAGATTTAAAGGGCTAGCATTGCACCAGACCCTCTTAAGTGGTTTCGTTTGAAAGTGTAGAATCTATATTTTATGCACATATGCATTGCTTTGTTTTTTTATTCTACTGTAAAAAAGTTATTTACACCTAAATATACACATTATTTTTTTTTACCCGAGCTGGGTATTGAACATTGGTTCATTGTCATATTTTTCATATGACGCATGTACAAGTTATAGCTCAAATGACAGCTCTTGCCGGTGCTCATACGGTTCTAGCATTCTTTTTACTGAAATATATTCACATATCAAACAGTTGTCGAATAAATCGCTGTGTTTCCATGGCGCAGAAGTGAAAAAAATACATTTTATGATCACAAAGCAGCCCCAGATAGCACAGACAGCTGTCATCTCTTACCTTATGCTGTGCGCTTCAGGGCCATTCTCCTCTGTTTTTGAGGTGATGTGCATAAGTAATACTTTTATATGTCTGACGTGGTTTAAACAAAGTGAATTATGTTTGATCAAACAAAAGAATAGTGAAATATGAAAACAAGGATCGATCCCTTTGGCTTGTATAGCACCTCTCATCAGTTGGAATACAATAACTTTTGCATAGTTTATGGTGGAGACAGTTTTCTTTTTTCCTTTGATTACAGACATGTGCAGGAACCAGCAAAATTAATTACAGCACGCTAGACCACACAGAACCTAATAGATACACTTTCAAATGTGAGTTTATAAAAAAAATACAAACAGCGCCTCTTTTCTTAGGTGTTTATTATAGCACAGACCACATATACAGATATTTGAAACACTTTCAATAGTGAAAATTTAATGGGTTTTCTTTAAAATGATACCCAATATTTGCATTTACACCTCTGCATGTGGATTTGGGAAGCTTTTAAATTTGAGTAGGCAAAATCCAGGCCGAAATCCCAAAATAACAGCAAAGTTTATCTGGTTAAAAGATACATATTTGTACCCAAAGAGTCCACAGTGGTACCTCAAAGGTGCATTTTAGTGCCCAAATGTACCTCAAAAGTACCTTTAAGGTACCATTATGGACCCTTCAGGTACAAATATGTATCTTTTGTAAAGGTACTGCCCCAGTGACAGTTCCTGTACCTTTATTTCTGAGAGTGTAGAATAACTTAAAATGTACTGTCAGTTTATTACAAGGTTTTTGTACCATTGTAGGAAAAAATCAGGAGGACTTAGAAGAACTCAATGAAGATGTTTATTCCGCATAGCAGTCTCAAACTACACAACAGTACCCTGGTTTCATCAGAGTCAGAATGAACCCAGAACACTCAAACCTTTTATACTGTTTTAGATGTTGGCTATAGACTTGCCTTTAGATCCGGGGTCTTAAACTGCCAGCCTGCGAGCCATTTGCAACCCCCCTCCTCCCTCCAGCCTGCAACTGACATCAAAAATATAACGAAATTTAGCCCAACAAAACATATTTTTTCAATCATCATCATTGTTGTGCTGTCGCATATATCCACTTGTGGTTTTGAACCTGGACATTTAAAGTACTGTACTATAGGTTTGGGTTACTTTTAGTTTCTCTCAGTGTGCAGTCAAGTGTAACACACATGCAGATTATTTCTGTGGCTGGTTTAAATGTTAAAATATATGCCTGTAAGTGCTCTATCTTTACTAAAGCTCTATTTTTGTAAATATTCAAGGGTCATTTAATTTGATGAGTTTTATTCCGTGTGTATTTTGTTGTACATGTTATGCTTGTGTTGTAAACATGATCATTTTGCTAATGATCGATTCAAATATTCTCATTAATATATTTCCCTAATATGTATTAAGATTTGTATAAAATCTGTGCATTAGCAAAATTTTACTGCTGGCTAAATGGAACATGTTAAAGTAAATGAGAATATATGCACATTTTCCCCCTCTTTGTTGTAGTTTTACAAAAAAAGAAAGATAACAAAGGACTCAACAAGTTACCCAAACTCTTTTCTGCTGTCTTACGCTATCTGTTAAACAGCAATTGATTGGGACATATTATAATTATTATTATACCTATTATTAATTTGTAGTATTTTAATAGAAATTTAAACTAACCCTTCAATATGTACAACAAGAAAAAAAGAAGGAGCTGAGCTGATTGACTTGATTTGTCAGTTGGAAATTGTCGGTCACTAATATGGCCCCACACCAATTTGAGTTTGAGACCCCTGCTTTACATGTTATTGAAGTTGCTCCTTGGCTGTTGACACAGCTGTTCTCTGTGTTAATGCAGTTTTAACACCCCTTGTCTGAGATGGTTTCCTCGTGCCAAATACCCATCCCCATTCTACAATTGTTACCATTTGCTAAAGATGTTGTCATCTCAAACAATACAGAGACAACAAACTGTTGACTTCTCTTTACTATCATAATTCAGCCCTTTTAGGAAATGAGCATCAGTACACTATTAAGAGTGGAAGCTGAGTCGAGGCTGACTTCATATCTTACACTGTAATATACAGTACAACACTACCCCAGACAGTATACTGTATAACTTTAAACTCATAAAATGTTAATAAAACTCAAACTTCAAACTTTTTAAGGTTAAAAGTTGTTGCAAGAGAGATCAAAGTCCCAGAATGCAATTCAAAAGCATAAATGCAAACAGGATGAATCACAAAATATGGAAAACTGCTAATTTACGGATGTTTTTTAACAATGTAGCATTGTTTTAATATGCTATTTTTGCCCCATATTAGGACAAGATTTACAAAAATAAATGCTGTTTAGATTTGTTTATATATATATATATATATATATATATATATATATTGGCTTTAAAAAAAAGGGTAAACGTATTACACAATGGTCCTGTGCAATATGTCCTGTTTATTAAGTTTTCAGGAGGTTTTTATGATGAGGCTTGGTGAGCAACAAACCTAAATTTAGAGAAATATTTTAACCAAAAGTTTAAATAACCTCGTAATTTACTCACACTCACGCCGTCCTCGGTGTATTTGACTTTTGACAAACACAATCTGGGTAGTTTTAAATTTTATCCCCTCTTTTGTGCTGTATAATGGTGTTGGTTGTGGCCCTTTTTTTGAAGCTTCCAAAAACTAACCCATAATGTGCAAGAAGGTTAACATGTTATAAAGCAGATCAATGTGTTTTTGTAACAAAAATATTTCTCTTTTATGTATGGTGAAATCAAATAACTGACAATGCGCATTGACAACCTCTTGGCTGACATACTGTGTGGTGCATTAGTGATGTACTCCAGTTTAATCAAATACCGCTGTGCAAAAAAAAAAAAAAAACTCTTCTCTTACAGTAAAATGTTACTCATTTTTTTCTAATTTTTCAGGAATTTAGTTATCCTTGTTTGTCTACTAGAGCTTCTTTATGAATGTGTCACGTCAAGAGATCAGCCAAAAAGTTGAGAATGCGCATTGAGCATTTAGTGAGAATCAGTGATTTAAGTTTACAGTTTAAAAAATCACAGTGCTGGGCAAAGATTAATCGTGATTAATCACATCCAAAATAAAAGTTTGTTTTAGCAAAATATATGTGTGTGTATGATATAAATGTATTACATATAGGTGGTAGAAACAAAACGGCTGCATAGAATTGACATAATTTGTATCATATATATTTTATATCTAAATAGAAATAATAATTTTCTCAAATATATGCATGCATTTGTGTATTTATATATAATAAATAAACACAGTACACACATATATATTATGTCAAAACAAACTTTTATTTTGGATTAATCCCGATTCATTTTTGCCCAGCACTAAGAAAAAATCATGAAAATAGTATATATATATAATTTATTTAATTTATTTATTTTTTTAGAAAAACAATCTATCCACTTCATAGGACATGCGTTAACCCCCTGGCATTGTGTGGGTTATTTTTATGATGGATTCATGTTTTTTTCTCCAAAACATCAAAAAGTGGGCCACTAACACTATAATACAGCATGGAACTGAGGATAAATTTTAAAACTACTCCGATTGTTTTTGTCTGACAGAAGAAAGTCATGCACACCAACTATAGCTTAAGGGAGAGTACATAATGGAGTGATTTTCATTTTTAACTGAACTATTTGTCAAAATGTTTGACCTTAACTGTTGATATCTGTGCATAACTGTGTGTTCATAAGACTATTAATGCAGCAGTTCACTTTAAAATACCTAGACACAGGGCACATGTATGAAAAAAATCCAGATTAATAAAGGCACAGCACAAAATACAATCCATACTTTATTCTCCTCAGTTCCAATTTAGATGTGTTTATTAACAAATTGCATAGATACTGGATGGGATTTTCTCTTGTTTATATTTCATGTAACTTTTGTACATTTGACAAATCGCAATGAAGTGCCACAATAGCAAGTGATTTTCACACTTAATATAGTTTATGACACTGCCAAAGAGGCGAACAGCTTCAGCGCAGGTTTGTCAACTCTGTGTCAAACTGTGACCAGAAATATATGAATATAGGCTTCTCTATGAAACGGTAAATAATTCACTTTCATTTTATTTAGGCTAGATTATTATTATTTTATCAAACAAACCAACACAATCACACAGTAACTAGTGTTTTGATGCTGAATAAAGCGGACTTAAGCACTTCACCCCAAAGGTTATTTGTTATTTTTTATTCCTTTAAATAATGTAGCCTAGTTGTTTTTAATGAATAATGAAGGACTTACAATGAATGCTTTGTTTCATTGTTTATCTTTATTTACAAGTAGCAGAGTACTGGGGCCATACCTAAAAAGCACTTTTTTTTTTTTAAAGCGGCGGCGGTAGATTGTGCGGCGGTAATGGTCACTCTGAAATCTCACCTACTGTACGACACATGCTGTTTTTGTGTCATAATTATCTAGCCATAACATTGTAACAGCACATTGTTTCACATTGCACACATTTGGCACCACAGAGTGGGGTTAACAAAGCAAAATTGGTGCTAACTGTCCTCCAGGGTTTTATAACTCCACTTTTAAATTAAACAACATGAAAACTTCCTTGACCCAAGGTTAAAAGCGTTGTTTAAAACCCAGGAATAAATGCAGTGCGAAAACGTCTATACAGAAGGTCATAAACGTGCAGCTGTGCACAGAAACCAATGGTGAAGATCAGGATTTTTTGTTGGATAATGGATTACATTTCAGTTTGTTGTTTTTGTATTTAGCAATACAACATCACAAGTGCTAGTAAATGATAACTGAATTTTCCCTTTTGAGTGAATTATCCCTTTAAGGCCCATTCATACCAAGAATAATAGCTATATTAGCCTCTGATGGATGATAACAGTTTTTCTTGTAATCATGTGCTGCTGTTTTTTTGTCATTTGCTGCATTAAATGCTCATATATTAAATCGGCTTTAAGCATTTTATTTAAAACTTTATAAAAGTGTGTTTCCAGCAATGGAAATACTTTAATATTTATTAGAATTTATTATTGTAAATAATAATATTTAGAAATCTATATTTAAAAACGAATTTAAACGATATCATGACTTTTACTATCCTTGGAAGGAATGGGCCCCTATTTTTAAAGATTGCTTTATAGAAATTCATTTTATTTAAATGTGGGTTAGGAGTGTTTTTTTTTTTTTTTTTTGCCAAAGAAACTGTTTCTAGTGAGATTTAAACTATTTAATTTTAAATGGTATATTCTCATTTAGAAAGTGTGATGTTTCTATTTAAAAAGGTAAAACAGTCAAATATGACTTGTCTTTTATTGGTCAATCACATAGTTAAAAACAAACCAATAAATATGAATATTTTCACAGATGTATACTGCTTCAAATGACTTCTTTCTGAATAAATTTTCTCATTGAACTGTGATACAATTCACTCTCAACGTGCATACACCTATTAGAGACTAAAAAAAAAATAAAAAAAAAAGAGTCATATAGGCTCAATACTCATGTAGGCTGTGGCATTGACACAATGCTTAATTGGTATTAATGGGTATGCCAAAGTATGCCAGGAAAATATTCCCCACACCATTACACCACCACCAGCAGCATGAACTGTTGATACAAGGCAGGATGGATCCATGCTTTCATGGTGTTGACGCTAAATTCTGACCCTACTATCCAAATGTTGCAGCAGAAATCGAGACTCATCAGACCAGGCAATTTTTTCCCAATCTTCTATTGTCCATATTTGGTGACCCTGTACAAATTTTAGCCTTAGTTTCTTGTTCTTAGCTGACAGGAGTGGTCTGTCATCATTTACTCACCCTTTATTTGTGTCACACCTGTTTGAGTTCGTTTTTTTTCTGCTGGACACAAAAGATGATGTTTGGAAGAATACTGAAAACCTGTAACTATTGACTTTTATGGTAACACATCGGTCAGCTGCCTTTCAGCTGGAGTGTGGTCTTTTGTTGCTGTAGCCCATCTGCTTCAAGGTTCGATAAGTTGTGCGTTCAGAGATGCTCTTCTGCATACCTCTGTGGTTATTTGAGTTACTGTTGCCTTTCTATCAGCTCAAACAAGTCTGGTCATTCTCTTCTGACATCAACAAGGCATTTGCACCCACAGAACTGCAACTTACTGGATATTTTCTCTTTTTTGGATATTCTGTAAACCCTCAGACCAGGCCATCTGGAAAAAACAACCATGCCACATTAAAAGTCACTTAAATCACCTTTCTTCCCCATTCTGATGCTCGGTTTGAACTGCAGCAGATCGTGTTGACCATCATGTCTACATGCCTAAATGCTTTGAGTTGCTGCCATGTGATTAGCTGATTAGAAATTTGCGTTAAGGAGCAGTTGGACAGGTGTACCTAATAAAGTGGCCGGTTAGTGTATTTCTTCATAATCATTCTGGTACACAGTGTCAAGGCTTTTTTTTAAGGTATAGTAATGAACAAGTGTTAGATTTGATGCACATAAACCATTAAAAAAAGAGAGAATGGCACATCTTCAGGTTGTTATTTATTTTGTTTACATGTTATGCATGTCATACAGTGCAATTAAAACATTACATTTTCAAAAATTTAATACATACGAGGCATACAGGCTCTAAAGGGGTAGTTCAAACACATAAAAATGTACAGTACACACAGTTTATTCACCCTCAACATCTATGATTTTTTTTCTCGTTTGAACACAAAAGAACATATTTGAAGAATTTGTAAAGTTATAACCGTTTCCATCCAAAGATGCAAATTAAATGTATGCTCAAAATTGGAATATCGCACAAAAGACGTGTGAATAAAGCACCGTTTCCATCCAATGAGTCAAAGAGAACAAAAAAATTGTCACTTCCTGATTAACTGGCGCCAAATATCAACAGTAAAATGAGATTTGTTTTATGCAATGAACACGTGGTGACGTTTGACGTGGAGCACAGATGCTCTTGATTCTGGAGGTAATTAATAATATAATATCACTAATACTGAAATGGTTCAGGCGTTTTAGAATGACCAAAACAACATTTCAGATGTATTACAATATGCTTAGCCTGCTGGTTTATCCATTCACGCACATTTTTATCATCACATGATCTTAGTGAATGAAAAGTTTCTCCTACTCTGTTATGCACATGTTTTTATGCGCATTTTCAAAATATACGCTCATCTTGGCATTTCCATCAACCCTTTTTAATGCACATACCCAAAATGTGCAGAAAAATAGGTGGATGGAAACATAGCTATTGACTGTAGGAAAAACATTAATAATAATAATAATAATAATAATAATGCATTTTATTTAAAGGCGCCTTTCATGACACTCAAGGTCACCGTACAGGACAGCTAAAACAAATAATTCAAATAAAAACACAATAAAAACAATAAAATACAATACAAACTTTAAAAATGCAAGCGAGTCAAAGAGAATAGGCTGTTTTAAACAGATGCGTTTTGAGTTTGGACTTAAATTGTGAAAGAGAGTCTAAATTACGGAGATCAGTAGGGAGTGAATTCCAAAGCTGAGGAGCAGAGTGGCTAAAAGATCTGCTCCCCATGGTGACAAGGCGGACAGGGAACAGTGAGGTGAATGGAAGAAGAAGACCTGTTCGAGACGGTGTGGCGATATGAACAAGATTAGCCAGGTATGGAGGAGCAAGATTGTGGATGGCTTTAAAAGTGAGAAGAAGCATTTCATAATTAATTCTGAAAGAGATGGGAAGCCAGTGAAGCTGTTGTAGAATGGGTGTGATGTGACAGATAGAGGGGGTTTTTGTGATTATGCGGGCTGCAGCGTTTTGTACCAGTTGTAAAAAATGAAGAGTTTTTTTAGGGAGGCCAAACAGAAGGGAATTACAGTAATCTAAACGGGATGTGACTAAACTATGAACAAGAATGGCAGCTGACTGAGGTGTTACTATAGAAGTCAATAGTTACAGGTTTTCAGCATTCTTCCAAACATCTTCTTTTGTGTCCAGCAGAAAGAAAAAAACGAACACAAACAGGTGTGTGACAAGGGTGAGTAAATGATGACAATGAAAATCTTTGAGTGAACTATCCCTTTCAGCCAATACAGTACATTGTGATATAAACAGAGCTAATAACATTTCATTAGTCTTTATATAAAGGCAAACAGAGTGGATTGTATATTATAGAGTAACAAAAACACAGAATCAATGAACAATGAATTTGGCCTATTGATGTGAGGTGAAAGGCCAAAGCCAATTATTGAGATTAATTACCATTTTTACCTCATATTTAATTCATATTCATATTTAAAAGTCTTTCTCGCTGCAATGCATACTTAAATATCATCTTGGTAAAACTGGAAGAAGCCCAACTGTTCACCATAAAAGATTAATGATTCTGTCAAAATTATCAGTGTCATTACTATTCTGCATGCCTTTTTTGTTCACAAGCAATTCAAAAGTAGCTGCAAATTTGATTAGCCCGTCTGGCCGATGATATAACTAACAATGATTGCAGCATTAATGAGTATTATAACCCAGAGGCACTCAACTGTGACCTTCCGTCATCACAAACAGATTGGACGGTTGTTATTAGTAACATGGCTCTGGGCATCTCAATCTTTAGTGTTATTTGGAGTTTCAATACACTACATTAGTGTGGTAATATTTAGCCCATAGAGTTCAGTCTTTGGAGTAACTGGTCTGCCTGCAAAGGAAGACAGACAAGAGATTATACAAAAGTATACTTTGTATACTCTAGAGTTTATATACTGTACAAATTCTGGTATCAAAAACTATATGTGTAAGATTTTTGTAAACATGCAACACTAAACCAGGCCATTGTTTCACATTTGGAAAAAAAAAAAAAAGAGACGATGGAGCAAATTACTGCAGAGCCCAAAGTTACACAGACATTACCATGAATGCAAACATGTTTTTGCAGGCCTCATCAAGTCAAGCTTGAGACATTTTAAGACATTTTAGGACTATTATGAATGGAATTAGGGCTAGACCCTAATGAGTTTCTCTAAGGATCCAGTTAGGTCAATAGAAAAGGTTTTTACTTGCCTCATCAATAAAATGAATAAATTCTTAGCCACATATTTTAAATAATGTGTCAAAACAAGCAAACTCTAGTTGTGTAAATGCACTTTTTTCAACATAACGGTTCTTTTTTTTTTGCAATTTGATAAGTTTTAAAAGCTATAATAAACTAAATGTGTGCACAACAGTCTGTAAAGGTCATTGTCCTCAGCAAGTATCCATAAACACATGGAGAGCTATTAAACAAACGTTATTGTAAGGAAGGTAGTTAAACCCTATTGGTAAATAGAGCTAAAATTTGTACTTTTGTTAAAAATTCTATTGAGGTGATTGGATGGGTCTTGATCTGACTGATTATGACTTTTTAAGGCTTAAATTTTATTTTATTTTTTGTAGATTTCAGACATTTTAAGACCTTTTAAAACAAAGCAGAGCATACAAAGTATTTTAAAGTGTGCACAAATTCGCTGACTTTTTACTGACTAAAAAGCTGATTTACTATGACTTATGATAAGGGCCAGAAATAATCTGCAGACACAGCATTTTCTGCACAGAATTTCATTAAAAAAAACAATTTATGCAAAATGGTTTTGGGAGTATCGTAGCTAAAAACTTAATATATGAAATTAATAAAAAAAATATATACCTTTTTAACTTTTGTTTAATGTTTACAATGCAAATCCAATTAGATCCACTTATTTGGTAAACAAAGCAAGTCTCCCATATAATATATCTACTTAAGAAGAGAAAATATTACTTTACAAACTGTATTCTAAATAAATGTCCATATTAGTCAATAACATTACTAAAATGTATTTAAAAATGAATAAATATAAATTGGCACACATTTACACAGGTAAATAAAAAAGACTCGAAGTGCTAAAAATCTGCAGATTTCTGCATGCACAGATTCTGTGTGGGCCTAACTACAGGATGATTAAAGACGCCTCTCATGTGGAGAATGAAGTCACATGAATTGCTTAAATGTGTGTTTTTCACAGACTTAACAGAGTGTAAAAATATTAATGGTTTTGTGGGTCTCGTCTATCAAATCTGATCTTTATTTTGTATTCTCTATTGGATTCAAGTCAGGTGATTGGCTGGGCCATTCTACAGCTTGATTTTCTTTCTCTGAAAGCATTTGAGTGTTTCCTTTGCTGTGTTTTGGATCATTGTTTTGCTGAAATGTCTACTCTGGTTTCCTCTTCATCATCCTGATAATGTAGGTGTTGGACTGAAGCAGCTAATATTCATTTACAATGAGGAAGGGCAGAGGGTTACTGAAGATCTACTGAGAGATTTCAGCTGCTGTGCTGGGCTTTCACTGCTTTTCTACACCTCCCTTTCTTCATGTGTTCAATGCTTTTTCCCTGCATCCCTTCATTTTATTACGCATAACTTAATGTGTAAACTAATTATTTGTTTTATTTTCTTTGCATATATGAATTTCTTTGGTTGTTACCAACATGCAGTGATTTTTTAAGTCAACAGCATCTTTAGAAAAATGTTTTCTTAGAAAAACTATGAGGTGATCAATACATATTTCCCCCACTGTATATAAAATTTCCTGACTTTCAATGTCTGCAATAGACCTCCTAAAATTCCATGATACTCCATAAATTCCATTATCCGTGGGAACCCTGACAGTCGCTCAGCCATACAGCTAAACACAACTTTTTAGCCCTCCTGTCACAGAGAGATTTTTTCAACTCATTTTAAAATACAAGTTTTAATAACAAATTTATAATAACTCAATTCATTTGTGTTTTTCAAGATGACAATACATAACATTTCACTAGTTAATATAGTGTAATTGAAAAACTCAACTTGGTTAATTAGTTTGTTAACTAGGAAAGTCAGTGGTTTGTGCTGTAGCCAATCAAAATAAAATGAGGGATGCCAATAATATTAAATAGAATTCTTAAAAACATTTAAAACTGATTTTATTCAAGACAAACTAAAAGGAATTTGACTGTCTTTAGAAGAAAAAAATATTATAGGAAATACTGTGGAAATGTCATTGCTCTGTTAAAGATCACTTGGGAAATATTTGAAAAAGAATGAACATTTCACAGAAGGGCTAATAAATATGTCTTCAACTGTATTTGCACACTTCAAAACAATTAGAAATAAAAAAAATGATATCATTTTAAACAAAAAAGCTGTATATTGATGTAATAGCTAAGACTGTGAGATTTTTCCGCTCCAGGAGCATCAGTAATCTGCCTGCGCTCTCAAAAACAAAAAAGGTTTTCATTCCTCTTCCACAGTAGCTTGTCCATTCTAATCTAATACGATTTGCTTGTTCCAATTACAAGACAAAAGATCTCATTCAAAAGGCGTAATAATGGCCACTATTTTGCTACGCTCCAAAAAAACATTTTTTTTTGTTAATACATCACTAACCTGCTCAGAGGGAAAGTAATTATTAGGCAGACAGAATTTCTTTTAGCTATTTCTGTGCAGAATTTTGTAATAAAATAAATAAAATCTTGAAAAATAAAATCAGTGGATTTATGTGGAATGATTTTAAAAATGTAGGAGCTGAAACACTAAACATTTTTTTGAATGGTGTGGCAGTTGGACCAATGGAAAAGGTTATTTCCCTCATCAGAAAAAGGCTTTTTTAGTTATTTTTTAGCCACATATTTTAAATAATGTGTCGAAACAAGCAAACTCTAGTTGTATACATGCAGTTTTTTCAACTAAGTTTCTTTTTTTTTTTTTTTTATTGACAAGTTTAATAAACTAAATGCCAGTGTCCTCACCAGGAATAAATATATACACACATATATATTTACAACATAATTAAAAAAATTCAAATCAGTGGATTTGTAGAAGCAGAAAACCTAACACAAAATAAATAAATAAATAAATCAATAAAGAAATAAATAAAGAAATAAAGAAAAGAATAAATAAATAAATAAATAAATAAATAAATAAATAAATAAAATGTTTACAATTAAAATCCATTATTAGAAGCATTGTTTGGTAAACAAAACTACAGTAGCTCTCCCAAATAATACAACCACTAAAAACATTATTATATTACTTATTACAACAATCATATAAATGGAGAACCAGGAGTGCCATTTAAAAATAAAACAAAGATTAAAATATCAATTTATTAATTGAATCAATAAATGTGTATAAACAAATTACAATTTGAATGCACAATTAATGGACAAATAAACGTACATATTTAAATGTGTTTATTTAAATTGTGATTTTAAATGTCATTTAATAAAACAATACATTATTCATTTAAAAATAACTTTAAAAAGCATAAATAAATAAAACATTTTATAATATGTTTACTTAATTCATCTTTTAAAACACTGATTAATCAAACAATAAATAGAGTATTAATAAAAAATTTAAAACGCATTTAAATGCACAATATAAATAGCTTTTTAAAAAGGCATTTGACAAATGCTGTTCTCTCTCTATTTACCACTTGCATTTCTTTTCCTTTTGCTACATTAATTTTTCGAGTAAAAAAAAAATGAAGAAAAAAATGTCATTAGACAGCAACCAATCAACTTTATTAAAATTGTGATTTATTTATATACATTTTTTATCCATCAATTATTAAATTGATAATTTGATTCTTCATTTTATTTCTAACCGGCACTCCTGTTCGGAATTACAATTACAATATTTATATTACATACAAATTTTAATTTACAAATTAATTTATACATAAACTATGTAACCATTTGCATATTATTTAATAATATAACTGAAATAAATATATAAAGCTAAATAAATATATATTTACATACATTTACAAAAGTAAATAAACATATGAAACATGAAATATGTGGAAATCTGCATATTTCTGCGGGCACAGATTCCATGTGGGTCTAATTATTAGTTTTAGTGGATGTAATTCATTGTGCTTTTAAAGAATATAGTGGATTGTATTGTAGGATATTTTTCATTTAAATGCTTACCGTAACGAACCAATACGAGTTTAACCTGTAGATCAAACGTGACATGAAGCCCATCTGACTGACGGGTGCGAGAACATGAAGATGTAGATGTGTGACGGAGCAGAATGGAGGCCAATGGAAGCCAAACCTAGAAAATACAACAGATCCGTAAAACAAATTATTTACAAGCTACATAAATATGAACTTGATTGTAGTCTAAGTACCAGATGTGTTCCATTACCTAACATCACTTAAATCAGTCACATTGTTCTTCTCAAGTATCTCTTTCCCCGTTTCCAGCATCTTTTCCACTGAAAACCGCAAACATATAGGTGTTATTTATTTCTAAGATGTTATGCATATTTAAGCTGGCAATTGTGACAGTACATGTTAAAAGTCACTCATTACTTCAGATTGTTACTGTGGTAAGGCTCCAGAGTAGCTACTGTCAAAATGTCTAAACATTTACAGCAGTCTTTAATCACTCACAGTGTGTTTACCTAACGGTACGTGCTCTTTGCTGAGAGATTTGCAATTGCCAACATGTTTACTTGGCACAACCAGATAGTGATGAGGAGCTCCAGGGTGGATATCTTGGAAACAGGACACAGTCTCATCCTGGGGGAAGAAAAAAAAAATAGAACTTTAATATTAAAGTATTTAAGTATAGGACAATCATAAAAATAATAGAAGTTTTACTTCTATTAATAATTATCTGTTTCTATTAATGGTTGTACTTTTTAATATTTTGACAGCATTTTTGCAACATATGATGTTTTAAATGCGCTTAGAAATTTGACTTAATGTTTTTATTGTAAAACATAAGAAAAAAAGCCAATAAAATATATGTATTTTTTTTTTTTTTACTTTAGAGCCTTTACATTGTGCTTTAATTATACATTTTTATTTTTGTTATTAGTTATATAACATTTGATAGCCATATCGACTTCACTGGCTATTTCATGGCAAAACCAGATACATTTTACAACATTTTTAAAATTTCATTGTTCTAAAATAATAAAAAGTCATAACAATAAAAAATATATTAACAGCAATAAATAATACATGAGTTAAAATATATGAATAATTATAATAATATATAAGATCTAAAAATATAAAAATGGTAAATTTGGAATTCAATCAGATTTACATTTTAAAATATTTCATTTAAAGTCTTTTGATAAACGTTAAATATACAGTAGGTAATACTAGGTATAAAAAAATATAAAGTGAAATAATACCAACTGTAACATTAACAGGGCATAAAAAGTCATACTTTATTTGAATAGATTTTTCTTAGATTCATAGTGTGCTTCATTTATACATTTATAAATTAATTTCATATTGAATTATTATTTAATAACTTACAATTAATCTAATAAACATGAGTTATTGTTACTTTGGTTAAACTTAGAAATTAAAATACAAATAGGTGATGAATATAATATAATTAATTATAAAAAGAGATGGAAATACGTTTATGTTTTGTTTTGTTTTTGTTCAAAAGTATTTTTATTGAACATGTTAGATATGAAACATGCAGTACAAATAGCTTTTCTTTTTCTTTTTTTTACACAACAAACAAAACCCTAAATATGCACAAATATACATTTAGGTTCTATAAAAATATAAAAAATTATTAATATAAAATACAAATAACTAATAATATTAAATAAAAATATTTTACTCTTATAAAATAAGAAAGAAAAGGAAAGGGAAAAGAAAATAATAAAAAAAATAACACGCAAAGGTTCTACTCTTCTAAAATAACCGAGGGGTCCATCTTCTTAATGTGATCTAAAACAGGCTGCCTTACATTTATGTTTAATAGAACATAAACTGTTTAGCAGTTAACAAATTGGGTATACAAACACTAACAAATAGATACAATTAGATAACATAATCTATTCATATTTAATACTGCATTATTCTTAAAATACAATATCCTTAATTACTATTTCTAATTAAAAAAAATACGAGGACATAATGTAGAATATAAACAAATCGGTGTGTTGTGTCCCACCCCTCAAATACAAGGATCTTTAGCCTAATTCTCGTATCGTACCACATCGTCTCGCATCTTAGTTAATAAAAACGAAAGTGACAGCACACTTACGCTGTGTAGAAGCTCTGTTCCCATCTCACCCTTTAAGATTTTACAGAAAATACATTTTTTGTCATATTCTTCATCAGAATGACTTGCTATACAGCTCTCAGGTGTCGGTGTGTTTGCGGCGTCTGCCATCTTCAAAACGTGACGTCAGCGATAATTACATCATCACGAACAAGCGCTTCATGACTTTTCAACATACAAGTCCTTTGTGTCTGAAGATTCGAAGGCACAAATCTTTAAATATAAACTAAAAACCCTCTTTAAAATATACACATCTGCACATTTCAATGTATACATCTCCAAAAATATTAATTAAACAAAATAATAGTTTTCAAAATAAAACGACAGGATTTTAAGCAGTGATGAAATTAATTAATGATCGCAGTACTCTTAATTAATTTGTGAATATTTTATAGCCAAGAAACGAATTTAGTATAAGATAAAATATTTTATCTTTTTATGATAAGGCCTAGTTTATTATTATGACATGCAGCTAACCAAAAATATAATAATAATAATAATAATAATAATAATAATAATAATAATAATGAACCAAACATTTTATACTAAATATTGTTCCAAAGCAGTTTAGAGAATATTTTCTAAAACAAACAACGGGGTATAGGCACACAGACTATTAATTTCAGTCATCCCATACAAAATCGATCTGATTTCTTTAAAAATCAGCGATCTTCACTGCCTGGCTGAGATATGATATAAAGTGGGTATCATACCAAACAATAGGCACTGCAATAAATTGTATTATTCCGCATTATTTCTTTAAGATGTGGAAATTCATTTTTTAATGTAATTTCTGTGCTAGCCTGATGGCGCTTGTCTTTAAATGTTGTGTCTTTTGACGCTTAAACAACCAAAATGGATGCTTAAGTTTATTTAACTGATTATATTTGAACTAAATTACACCATCGATGCTGTAAAAAGGAATCTTATGAAACTGAAAATAGTCACATAAAGCTTTCACCGGAAATTCATCATTGGCTGAAAAACACTAGCTGTGCATATAGCCCATTGGGGAGGAGGATCTTTAACTAATGCCCAAATGTTTTCTTCAGACAGTAAGAAATAAAAATGATAAACAATAATAACAAAAGAAAGAGCAAGAGTGATTTTGAGTATTACATTGCCATTAAAAAAGGAAAAGTCAGAAAAAAAGGAAAATTAAAGTCAGATAAAGCTTTTTTCAATAAGAGATATTGCTTCATTTCTTTTATGAAAAAATACAGAGATGTTTGGAAGATGAAATTTTGAATATGTGAAAATAACACCAACATTTAATTAGTCACACTTTTTTCTCTGTCTTGTTTTGCTGTTGAATCGATGGCAATCAACAAAGTACTACATTGTTCCAAAGCAAATCCCATTAATCTAATGAAATCAAAAATATCTTGTCTTTTTGAAATGAAATGAATTTTGACTCCAAAAGAGATGAACAACAGAATTACCAAAGAAAAAAAACAAATGGAGAAATTATTAGCATTATGTAATTCCTTGCAAGATTTTATGAGGAACTTATGAACTGTTTTACATAAAATTGAATAGGAGAAAGACATGGCATTATAATCAAGGTGAAGGAATAAAATCAACCAGCAAAATTATAGCCACAACACCAGCACCACAATAATTCCTTAAATTATATATGCAATTTAGCACATATATTTTTAAAATAGCATTTAAATTTTCCCAAGAATACGCTGTGGCGCAGGAGGTATGTTGTCGCCTCACAGAAGAAGGTCGCTGGTTCGAGCACTCGACTGGGTCATTTGGCGTTTCTGTGTGGAGTTTGCATGTTCTCCCCGCGTTCGCGTGGGTTTCCTCCGGGTGCTCCGGTTTCCCCCACAGTCCAAAGACATGCGGTACAGGTGAGTCGGGTAGGCTGAATTGTCCGTTGTGTTTGTGAGTGAATGAGTGTGAATGGGTGTTCCCAGGGATGGGTTGGGGCTGGAAGGGCATCCGCTGCGTAAAACATATGCTGGATAGGTTGGCAGTTCAAAATAAAGAGACTACGCCGAAAAGAAAATTAATGAATAAACTATAATTAACTAATAACTAACTACTAATAAGTTTATCAGTTAAGTTCTAATATATATATAAACGTAGTTATCCTGCAGTTGTATAGTATATAGGTGATGTCTATGTGTAGATGTTCAATGAAGTGTATATGTATTAAGTGTATGAGTTGTCATCAAAGTCCTCGAATAGCTGTCACCAAAAACCAATAAGTTTCAATCTGCATATCACGTGGCATAACTGAGGTTCTCAAAGAACCAATGAGGCTCTTTCTTGCATGTGATAAGGCGCATCTGATCTTCTGCAAGGACCAATGAAACTCCTACTTGTGTGTCACATGGTACAGCTGTGCTTCACAAAAAAAAACAAAAAAAACAATCAGACATACAAAAAAGAAGAAGAACACTCAGATAAATTCTTGTTTATCAATCTGCCGATCTGATCTTCTCCAAGAACCAATCAGCTTTATTTTTGTGTATCAAGTGCAGACCATTGATCTTCTCCAATAGCCAATCAGGTTTATTATTATGTAAAAAAAAAAAAAACGCAGATCACTGATCTTCTCCAATAGCCAATCAGCTTTGTTTTTGTGCTTCCAACCGCCGATTTGATCTTATCCAAGACCCAATCAGGTTTATTGTTGTATATTAAACCGCAGATTGGGGGTCCGTTCTTCGTACGTGGATTACTCAATTAACTGGATTTGGATATTGACGATTTGACACGATCCAGGATCGTTTCGTTCTTCAAAGCTGATCCGAGAGTTGTTGTCATAGCAACAGTTCTGCTAGGTCAAACCTGATCGGGAGCAGGTTCAATTCATATAAACAGGATAAGATCGGCTCAGTTCAAGCAAAGATAATACAGAAAGTATGTTCTGAATTCTGATATTTTCTTACAGTAGTAGTTATATACACTTGGGAAAATGGTACATATTTTTAACTATATATATAAAGTTATAGTCATTAATAAAATAAATAAAGTTATAGGCCTACATATTAATAAAACTTATGCAATCTGCACCCTCGAAATGAAAGTACAAAGACTGCCACCTGGTGGTGCAAAGAGAAAACTTATTGATACGAACTTTTTAGATCGCTTTAGTACAAATTGTGTATGATAGAAATGCACAATATGTGACTTTTTTTTTAAACAATAATACATTTATGCAGTCATAAACATGTTTTGACAATTAATATGCCAGTGATGTGATGCTTCACAAAAGTTGCAGACGCCTTTACGAATATGAAAATGCTTTTGTAAACAACCAGTTATTCTTTACACCGATTAAAAAACGGCTACTATAATATAGACAATATTTTCTAAATGTAGAACTAAATACATTGATTTGCATTGAAATACATGATGAATACTCTTGACAAATGAAAGTGTAAAGCCTGCAGCTCACAACAAATGTGGAAGGTTATTGCGTGTCATATTTAACAAACAGTTTACTGCTAATTTGATGTAATTTTGCTCACATGGATAATTGAATATTAATCAGATGATGTCATTACGCTGATGTGCCGTCAGCCAATCGTTGCATTGCTGATCATGATTTCGAGGATCGATAGATCTGTCCTTCACAACACACGCAGCGATCTCAGATCAGTTTATCCAGACATTCTAATCTGATTCACAAACTTGTTTGAAGAACCAAATTAGCGAGAGATCAGTTATCAAGATTAAAAGATCCAGGATCTGCCAAATCATCTTAGATCATTTAAGCAAGGTACGAAGAACGGACCCCAGATCTTCTCCAAGAGCCAATCAGGTTTATTCTTGCAAATCAACCCGCAGATCTGATGTTGTCCAAGAGCCAATCAGGTTTATCTTTGCTTCTCACATGGCACATTTGAGCTTTTGAAAGAAGCAATGAAGTTTGTTCTCTCGTATCAGTCAAGTATGATTGAATTTAGGTTCCCTGATCACCGTTTACTGTACTTGTAAAAGAAAGCCGAAATGAAATATTTTTATCATAAAAAGCAACCGAGTCTCTTCAAATGACTCAAAAAGCTTGATTTATATGAAGATATTTCTGGATCTGTTTGTAAGTTTTAGATCAACATATTTTTAACAGAGAATCTATCAGATTGAATTGAAAATATCTTCATATTTGTACTGAAGCTGGAATGTTATTGTAAACAGTACACATGTATTCAGGCCTCTTTTGAATCGCATTAGTTGGGCTTCTCAAAACAGCAATGACAGTAATACAGCTGTGCTATTTATTATTTACCACCTATGTGTGAGAAACACTATCTCGACAGTCTTCAAGCTGCCAGCGCAGCAGATTTCCAGCAAAATCTCCCTGCAGAATAACTCAGACGAAGCTCCCTGACTGGTTAAAGGTTACTAATCAAGAGAGGCAGAAAGGGATAAGTGAGTGACAACACACGAAGTTAAACTGCTCTGTTTAGCGGGTCAGCCGAGCAATTAATCCCGAGCACTCCAATATGTCAGGACGCCACATTTACCACCTTAATGTATGCAAATGATGTCATTAAAATGCATGTTCATGTTTAGTCTCTAAATTAAGAGCTCATTTGCACTCCCAACAATCCAGAGATTCATTATTACAAATTACAAAAATAATAATGACTCGAGAAATCACATTCACTCTCCGTGTGGACGCCCTCCCCTATTTACGTTCCGAATGTGAAAATAATTTATGTGACAATCAGCAATTTGCAGCCACTGTATTTGAGCTTGTCAGCTGGCCAAAGCTATTATGTTATCTCTTGTTCTGTGGCTCCATATGATGAATAATGTGCCAGAACATGACTGTATGCAATTACGGTCTGCTATGGTATTGTCGGGACGCAAAGGATTGTATTTAAAATAAATAAATAAACGGACTGGCGAATGTGGGACATCGTGACGTGAATGGAAAACACAAACGCCTTCGGAATAACTGAGAAAATATGAAGTTAAGCGCTGGCAACAAACAACGGATCTCACGCGTCTCTAAATGATTCATGACCAAAATATCAACTCCAGCATTGAGGAAGTCAATGTTTTGTCCTGAAGAGGTTGTAGAATTATTCATGAGGCATCGGCTTTGTAAATAGATCCTGTTGATTAAAATGGAGGAAGTTGGGGGGATGGCGACAACTGCAACTCATGAATCTCTGGAGAGAGAGAG